TATATTTTATTATATTTATGGTGTCGTGGGTAGCAAAATATTATTATATTTTGCTAAAGTGGAATTTAGAGACTAAAGCAATTCTCTTTTTGGGTAGGTTTTTAAAACCTTGGGTCATATCGAGTTCTATTTTGCCCCCCACTCTTAAGTGTATCTTGATTAATTTATACCGCTAGTATTATCAAATGTACATGTCATATATTTTATTTTAGTCCTATTTATTTTAAAATCTCTTATTTTTAAGTCTTTTGCTATAAGCTTAATATTACTAAGGGTGGCAATTTTTCACCCAACCCGCTGAACTCACCTAATCCATCCAGTATCTAACCCACTCATTTACTTGGCGGGTTGTGTGATCAACACATCACTCAATCCGTCCATTTAAATGGGTTGGGTTGTGGATAACCATTGGGTTAACCATTATAGATATAAGTATTAATTCTTTAGCCTTTTTTTTAATTTTCTTTATTTGATTAAATAATTTATAATTAATACATTAATTTCCTATTAATTATTGACTAAAATTAGTTTTGTCTTGAATTAACACACTTCATCCAACATAAATCCAAATCAATTTGACCCGAGTCTGGATCAGTTCAATGTAGTCTGACCCGAATCCGAAATAAACCCCGGATGGGATGGTTCGGTACCGCTTGCTTTGCCTGCTTTGGATCATCCGGTCCAATCATTATTCACACAACCCGACTCGACCTAGTACAAGCCAATCCGGATCGACCCAAATCTGAAACGGATCAGGTCGGGTGGGATCTAAACCCTAAACCCACCATGCTTGCTTTGCTCGGTTTGGATTGCCCGGTCTGGTTCGTATTCGTACAACCCAACCCAAAATCCGGTCCGATCCGATTTACTTCTCTTGATCCACTTTGGGTCAATCGGTTTGGTCCCAAACATGTGCACAAAGCTGACATGAGATGACCCAAGTCAATCCACCAGTAACTGAACCAGCCCAGTCTAGTCTGATCGAACTGAACTGGTCTGGTTGGAGTCCGAACCGATCCAATCAGGATCTGGTCCGACCGGACTGATCTGGTTCTAAACGGTTCAACCACTCTTGATGTGATTAGCTCGAAGGCAATTCAATTTGATGGTTCAAGTTGGTCTGACCGGTTTGAACCTAAGTGGTTCATCAAATCCGAAACCCGAACATAGTTAAATGGCTTTGCTACTTGTGTAAAAATAACATGCATTTAATGTGATTTGAACCTTCTCTACTTATGTAAAGTGCAATTACTATTGCCATCAAACTATGACCGATTTATTTGTTAAGAGGGAGTTAGTTTTTTTTTAAGTACATAAATATAAGATTAATGGGTTTGGGCGGATTGGACTGAGTTAAAGCAAGTTTGGGTTGAACCCAACCCATTTTATTTCATATAATTGGGTCATTAACGGGTTGGCGGGTTAAATGAGTTGGGTTGAAGCTCAACCCGAACCAAACCCAACCCAACTTATCCAATTGCCACCACTAAAATTACATTTAATCCTTCATTAGTTCCATCAATTAAAACAATATCACCTAAAAAAAACATGCACTATGAAACTTACTCCTGAATATATTTAGTCAATTCTTATACGATCAGTGCAAATAAATAAGAGGTAAGTGTTGATCCTTGTTGAAAACCCATAGTAACGGTAAAATCTCATGTCTCTCCCGCTAGTATTCAGATTTTTCCTTCGCCCTTCTAAGTCAAATCCCAATGCATGAACTTATGAATGTTAGCGAATTCGGGTCAGGTCTGGACCCTATTATACTCATTACCACCCTACGTGAATTCCAACTAATATATATTAGTATAGGAAATGTCTAAAATACTTATTTTTTCAATAAATAGCATTTCAAAAGTGGTTATTATCACTTAAAACAAAAGTTTCTTTTCTTGGGCATGTGTCTATCCATTCTTCCACTCTCAAAAAGGTTAATGGTATTACATCCTCTAAAGAATAAAAAAACAAAAAACTCATTTCAAATACCGTAGGATCTATGGAGTTATTATTTAAAAATAAAATTTGATTTAATCTATTAAATTAAATAATCGATTTAGATATAAAAAATATCAAATAAATTAATAACCTAAATTTACATCTACAGCATAAAAAAATGATGTCAAACAACATTTATCCAAAAAAACATGAATAAAAAAATCAAAACACTGGCCCCTACTTAATACAGGGTCATTCTTTAGTCTGGCATCAATCCAATGGCTAAAAATTAAAATTGTATATTCAGCCTGCTATATAGCTGGAATTTATCTAGTGGTAGTAGTGCGACCATATTTTAAACAATGTAAAGACAATCAACCGTGTATTTCTTTTTTTCTGGCAGTAACTCTTTTCCCTTTCCCAGACATCTATTAGACTGTTACCATTTACTCAAAATGAAATTAAACGTCACAACATGGTCAGTTTTGTACCTTCAAAGAGTTATTGAATAATTAATAAGAGAATCCAAAGCCCGTTTGGAAGGGTTTGGTCTTTGATTGAGCTGCATTGATTAAGCCGCGTTGAGGAACCTATTACATTAGCTTCTCTGGGAAGTCGATTCATTGGTTGAATTAAAGCATATTTTGGGCTTTTCTATGTTTCATCAAATATAATTTCTAAACTTCTCCATGTAGGGCCCACAATTCAGAAGTTGCTTCATGAAAGCCCTCCCCAGTCCCAAACAGTAGGGCTGCAAGTCAGGGGCCGGGTTAGGTCGGGTTGAGGCCAATCCTAAGTTCTAAACCTTAATCTAACCTGACCTTCAACCCGACCAACCCAACACTAACTCTAACCCTAACCCTAACTAAATTCCTTCAACCCTAACTCAACCCAACCCGAAATCAATTTCGAGTTGGGTTGAGCCCAACCCAACCTTCTTCCCATCCTTTAAAACCTCATAGAATTTCTCAATTTTAGATCTTAACTCAACTTTCACTACATATATTAACCCTATGTTTCATTAGTATTTTTTTATTGACGTTATTTTATTTTTTGTTCTTTTAGTACAAAATTCAGAAAAACAAGAGTTAGAAATGTCTATAATTTATTATGAGTTATGACTTACGATAGATCTTTCTTGGGCGGCAAACAACATAGAGGAGATGAAGAATAAAATTTTCAAAAAAAACATAAAATAATATTATTAAGATTTTAATCTTTCTGATTAGGATTAAGTGAAGTGATTATCTTAAAAGAAATACATGATACCATGTGGTGGGGGTTATACAAATACCATGCATCTAAACAAATCAATGTATATTATATATTATCTATAACATATATTTATATATGACATGTATTATAGAGTCCGGTTCAAATTGGATCGGATTGACTAAGAGGTCAACTCTAACCCAACCCAAAGTAAAGTAGGATTCATGAATTTCAATCCTAACCCTAACCCGAATATCAACCCAACCCAACTTTTTCGGATTGGGTTAAGATTGGGTTTGGACCAACCCAGCCCAAGTTGCACCTTACCAAACAGACGCTAGATAACTAAAGTAACGCACTTACTGCTTGCATTAATTGGTGGAGAGATCCCAAATTCCCAACCTAGTTTGAAAGATGGCCCTTCACATGGCAAGGCTCTTTATCGTGTTTTGAATAAACAGACTGGGATAAATAATCCTATCCAACAGTTCCAAGGAGGTGAACTAGCTACAGCCCAATCCACTTGGATGAATGGCATCGCTCATATATCATATTGAGGAGGCACCGGTTCCAACGTCAAATTGCAGAAAGCAAGCTCTCCACGTTGTATGCCAGTGGGCCCTTTTTATATCCCATCAACTCACCCCATAATGTTGTATGCCAGTGGGCCCTTTTATATCCCATCAACTCACCCCATAATTAGGTCTTAGTCTTACGCACAGCAACTGGCCCGAACTAAAACCTCATCACCGATACCTAAATAAGGACAGAACCAGCTACAGGAGAAGATTCCAAGATAGCTTCCACTCCATGGTGACCGTTGATCTTTTCACTGGTTAATAGTCTTGCTTAATTGCTTGGATTCCATACTAAACTCCCAAACTCAGATACCTTCAACGAAGTAGAAAAAGTTAGTTTGGTTAACGTTCGAGGGACCACCACATGCATCAACGCAAGCGACGTTAGTATATATAAATAATACTTAATATACTAGAGTTATTACCAAAATGAAATTATATTAATATTACGGGTGTAGCGCCGTAGGGGTGGATTCAAACCAAGCCGAATAGAATAGTACCGAGGCTTCTATAATGCTCAAGTTTGAGCCAGAACTTTGAGTTTGAGCTCAGTTCTAGTAAAAAATTTATAAGTTCGGCTCGAGCTCGATTTTGAAAAAAAAATATTTTATAAAAATAAAAAATATATAAAAATATTATTTATTTGATATTTAAAAAATTAATAATTATAATATTTTTATTATATATATATATATATATATATATATATATATATATTCGAGTCGGCTCACGAGCTAAGCTCTAATTGGCTCGAGCTCGACTCGTTTCATAATCGAACCGGTGAATTAGACTCGAACTCGATTGAAACCAAGTCGAACCGAACTCGAACAGCTCGTGAAAAGCTCAGCTCGTTGCCACCCCTAACAGTAAACCGGTCAAAACCCCAATACACCCTTTGTACAGACTGTTACGTATCAATACTTTGAACCTTGGCTTCATAGACTTTTTTTTTATCTTTTGATTTTTGAAAGGCTACACAAAGGGGTTAAGTGCATCCCAACTCATAACCCCCTAACCCAGGTGAGGCGGAATTCAATCCAAGTCTCTGCGAGGACCAGCAGGAGACCTTACCAACCAGAGCTGATTGGCACCTTGTAATGTTTGATGGACTTTTAATTTATGTGGGGTGCTTGCGAGATTTCTTTTAAGCGCAGCGCAAGCAGTCAAAGTCTCAAGTGATGGGATCCTCATGGCATTTTATTTTTGGTAATGCATGTGTTCTAGTCATGGCGAACATGGGAGGATATCTTACATGTCTAAAACTGAATGTGAAAGTTGAAACATGAGCTTTACTGGACGTTCCTTTAATTACATTCATAGAACAATAATAAAAAACAAGTAGAAACGAGAAAATACACCAGATTATTACGATTCAAAAACAATGTAAAATAGATAGTACTTATCTGATCTCAAGTATATAACATGGACGAGAGACTGCAGCATTTCAGACACTAGTGTAGCCAATGACCCAAACGGCATATTGATCTTTGTAGGAAACCTTGGCATAAACCCTATGATGGGGTCATGTGGTCCGTGAAGGTGAAAGGTCCATGTGATCCTGTCAACAATCGACTTTATGTCTATATATGCATGCATTCTTTACCTTCGAGATCACGGGTCCGGTGCCGAGAAGTCAGGGTCTCTTGCTTTCTAAATGTAGCCTGTAACAGGAGGAGCAGATCTTACCTAACAGGACAGAAGCCCACAAGAACAACAATCTGCATCTTGGGGATACTGCACGATGGAGGAGAACCAAAGGCAGATGAGATACCCCCCTTCAAAGTCCAAGCAAGGTGCAGTCAGATGAGATCAAATCAGTCCCCTACAAGACTGCCTCTCACAAAGTCCCACAGCACATCCCCGCCATGTATTATCATCGGGAGATGTTCCCAATACACGGCCGGGATGTGCTGTGGGACTTTGTGTGGGGGCTGATTTGAACTCCAGTCAGATTGATGGTTTCAAAGTTAATTACCATTAGTGGACCTGGAAAAGTACATATCCAGATTCGAGAACCGAAAGCAATTCTGCAAGTTGAATACCGATCAAATCAAAACTTGGTTGAGTTCGATAGGTCCCGCCAACTTAAGATAAGACTCGTCTAAATTTCCAGATATATATAATAGAGAGATGAGAGATACATCTGATACAAATGGAGCCCATAAAATGTAGAGAACATAACAAAGAAAAACTTGAAATATTCTCTCTACTCACCCCCCATCAACTTTTTGAACACGTAACAAATGTTCCAGATTTTAGGTTAAGATTTACTCAGCTATATTACTTGCATTCAATTTTATTAGCGCTAGAACATATTAGGAACCTCGAACTGCTAATGGCAGTGCTAGGTTAGTCTAGGATTGGTTATCCCGTTACATATTTGTTTATCATAGATGTAGCCCTATGCATAATAACAATTTCCACAGCATGTACCACAGCAAAATAAATTCCCATACTTTAATATGGTGCACATCACTGATGCATGCATTAGAAATATATAAGCAATAGGACAAGCTACAAGCTCAGTATTTGATATTCCTTCAATGAGAAAAAGGAGTAAACAAATGTTCCCTAGGGTGGTTGACAAGTTGACATCAAGGAGAAAATCAGGATAAAAAGCAATGATTCAACATGTATGGATTCCACTGCTATATAGAGGTAGCTTAAGGCTGTGTCTATTACCAGGATTCATGGCACTGACAATAATTTATCTTTTCAAAAAGTAGTACTGTAAAGCCTGATCCATGTTTTATGAAATATGGGACTATTTTGGAGAATGAGGATTCTATTGAGAAGTATAACTGGGTTTCTCTTTTGTATCAGAAATCCACAGTAAATGATTTCGTGAGTTGATCCATAAGTGAGAAAAGTGATTGAAGCCCTTTCATGATTCAATATCTTCTACTACTGCTCCTTGATAATGAAGGTGACGAATCTCATAATGGTTTAGTGATAATGCAAATGAGAAAAATAAAAGTTCTGTTTGGCTAGTGAAACAAATAGGACTACTCAAACATTATCTCAAATAGATGGTAACAAAGGTCAATGAGAGGCTTGATAAACCTACACTCCCACAGAATGGCTTCTTTATCATCTAATAATGATGGAAATCCAGTGAAAAAAAATTGAGAAATCTCATTTTGGGAGGGCAATATACTTCAAAGACATTAACAAGCTCTACATAAAATCAACAAGCTCAGGTTTAGTTTCCATGCACAAATAGGGGAAATCAGAACAGAAAATACAAACTGGTTAATTTTACTTGTATAGTTGCTTGTACCCAGGTCAAGCATACACAAGGATCCAATCATTTAGTAGGACACACTAGCTTGTGGCCATACTCCCCTGGCTATGTAAAAGGGGTAGAAGAGCATTGGAAAAAGCAAGGTTCAAAATATCGTTACGCATCAGCCCGTATCGGCCGATACGTATCATATCAGGGCCTTCCCGGTACGCCCCTACAGGGGGTGTATCGGGTCAGGCCATGGTTCAGAGGGTAGCTGGACCAGCATATCGGCCTGTATCGATATTTAGAACCTTGGGAAAAAGTAGGGAAAGGTAGGGAACCTATACAAGTTTTGTAAAGGTTTCCCTACCTTTCCTTACTTTTTCCTTCAAACCAAACACAGCCTTATTGTAAACCTAATTACCTACCTTGGAAGAGATGTTAAATGAATGCAAAACTCAGTGTAGACCCTGCATGAGTTAAAAGATCCCAGCACAGTAAGGTAGGAAATTACAATTAAGAAAGAGTTGCAAGTTATGATAGCTGAAACTGAGAGCTCTCTGAAAGAATTAAAGAAGGCTGAGTAAAATCTTTCAACTACTAAAATCTCACAACTGAAATAGTAAGCCAATCATCAAGGTAATCATTGGATGCAGAAAAGGAAAAAAAAAAAGACAGTGCCAACATAAACTTTAGACCTCATCAGCTGTTCCTCTCGAAGCTCATGAAGCTGAACTTGATGCAAGAATTCTTGCAGAATAAGGAAACAAGATGTTGATCCTGTAATATATATCGAATTAATGTTGGGTCTGCAATCTAATTATACTCTTGCTATTCTTGCCCCAACAAAATAGGGATGCCTGCGAAAAATTATAACTAATCAATAAATCACAATACTTCCTAATTAGAAAGAGGGATGCCTGCGGAAAATTATAATTAATCAATAAATCATAAAACCTCCTAACCAAAGCAGGACTCACGAAGAAGAAAAACAACTCTCCGTGGTGAAATAAAAAAAAAAGAACAAGATCCACTCAATTCATCCATCTGTTCCTTCATATTTACATCTGAAACTACTTACAAGGAAAACAGCTAAAACCCTCCGGCCATGCATCTCAAATGTTGCATTACAAACTAATTAAAAGCTCAATAATTAGATATTATTGGTTTCCTTTCCTCTTTACAGATTTACGGTATTGTACCTCCAATTGAGGTCTCAATGTAGAAGCAGTCAGCCTCCAAACTCCAGAATCTTCCAATAATCAAACACACAGTTATGGCCTCTACCTCTGCAAGAAACATAACCAGGAGCTTCATTATTCGGATCAAACAACCATCAGACGAAAAAAATCAAAGATAATTAGAGGATAAAAGAGGAGGTAGAAATAGAATCAAACCTTTGTAGGAACATCAGGAACTTTGTATGAATCGGGAGTAATCCCAGCCAACCACAAACCAGGGAAAACATTCTGTGAGAAAATCATAGATTCCGGTTAGGAAGCAAAAATAGGAACGAAATAGAAAACAAAGCAACTAGAAGTCTAGAACATCGTCGACTTCAAAGAAAAAAAAAAAGGTTGATAAATAGAGGGGCAATAGGAAGACAAATTTCTTACATCCAGCTGTTTCTGTATATTCTTCGCTCTCTTTTTCGGCCTCCGAGCTGGTTTTGACCCGGTCATCACAAAGATATCCTCTTCAATCTCCTCACGGGAAAGCGAGATCGAGAATTTCTGTTTCTCCTTCTTCTCTACATGTTGTGCTTCGGCAAAACCTCTCAACCGAAGAGACTTCGGAAGATTCTCTGGGTGTGATGCAAAGACATTCTCCTGCAATTCTCCATTCTTCGAAACACCACCGATCTCATTCGGAGCCTTGAAAATAGCTCTTCTCGGTCTCAGATTCCACGGCTTCGAAACCGGTTCCTCTACTTCTTTTCCTTCTTCATCAGCAGCAACGTCAGTTTTGTTCTTCGACGCGGATTCTTCCTTTCCTCCAGGTCGAAGACGAATTAAGAGTTTACTCCTACCGTCTTCAGTTCCGGCAGCTTCAGTTTCCGATGCGGTGGGGCTCTTCGGCGACTTCTCCATCGACGGAGTAGTGGAACAGGAGGCGAACGAGAAACGATTCTTAACACTTCGAGATCCGATCGGTAACTTCCGAGCCTCCGAATCACAATCCTTCTTGCAGAGGGAGGCACCGTCGGGTTCGGACTCGGAAGCCGAGGAACGGTGATCGTGCGGCGGGGATTCTCGGGTGGTATCGGCTGGTTTCCGGCAGCGGTGATTGTTAACCTGGTTCTTCCCCCACTTCAAGAACGAAAGGGAGAAATTGTGAAGAGGCTGCGATTTGACGGGCGCAGTGGCCATGGATTTTCTCTGCGATGTCTCGGCTTCCGACAATGCCTGAAACACCATGGATTGCTAGGGTTACTTGAGGTCGATCGAGAGAGATATCTCCCTCTCCGATCGTCTGCGAGCTCCAACAAACAAGGCAAAAACCCTAATTGTGAGAAGCTTACAGAGTGACGACGAACGAAGCGGAGAATGGGAGAGAAAGCTCTAGGAGAAGCGCTGCGTGTGAGGGAGCGAACGCGAGAAAGAAAGAGGCACTGTATATTGCTGCGTAGGTATACACTATATATATTTAAAGCGGGAGTTCGCTCTACTCTTCTACGTCTTTGCACTCTTGTTTCCTTTTTGACACTTGTACCCTCAACTTATTCTTGTATTACTCCTTTGTCCTTATTGGTAATAAGGTTTTCCCTGTGTACAGACTACAGACTATGGAGCGGTGATCCGGAACCTCCCACGTGGCAATTAAGAGCACCTTCATATTCGGAGTTGGAGACCAGCGGAGAAAAGAAAAAGGAAAGCACGTATATTAACAAGATCATGGATATGGTCAAAGAACCGAGAAAGACAATTGACCAAACGAAGAGATCAGGCGATGTTGAACCGTTAGATTTTGAGGGTGACGTAGACAATTGAGATAGAGTCAACCAGCAGCATTGCAAAAGAGCCGTTGATCATCAAAGGCAATATAAGATCCTGACGATGATATCTGGAGTTTCTAGATTTATGTAACCGAGGAAGGAGAAAATGGGGAAGATGCAAGATGCAACGAAGTACATAGAAAGATTCGATGAATCTGGGATCAGAGGGTGGAGCTGTATGTGATAATAAGAAAAGCCAGGGGCAAATGGGATGGGGATTGGGGGAGATGATGCTGGGGGCTGGCCAACTTAGAATTTCCGTAGTTTTAAGTCATTTTAACATCTGGGCCAAATGCCAAGCTCTTTTTCTTTTCTCTACTCTATATATATTTTTTATGATGATTGGGCAATATGGTTTTGTCGAGTATCCGCACGGCATGACCCAGGGCCAGGGGAATTTGTGTGGGACCCACTTGGGCTGATGATTTGGGGACCAGGAGTCCACGTCCACTGGACCCACCTTGGAAAAGAGGCCGCTGACTCGATACTCATCACTCATGGACGTATGGTGTGTGGGACCAGCTTTGGTTGGCAAGGCGGGCCGATGATCCCAATTCCCGACTCCCAAGCCCGGGCCCCGGAGGATGTGCATGTGCGACTTTAGAACGTGCTGAACGGTGGAGAGACCGCTGCGGTGTAGCGGCAATGGGATATACATATACTGTAAGTCTGTATTTGTAAGCCAAAGTTCTGTATACGGTATACACTCTCAAAAGCACGATCATCTAACCGTATATTAGTAATATCTCCCTGATAGTCCAAAAATGTTATTACAGATGTACAGTTGAATGCGGTGTGTAAAAAAAATAAAAAATAAAAACGAATGCGGTGTCCGCGCATACTTATCTATAAATCTTGTCAAAATGGTATATTAACAGAAAAGGGAATTTAGGTTGAGTGGCTCCACAGAATGCGCCTAAAAAATGTCCCACATGCATATATCTCAGCGTGGATTGAGAATATCTTCTCTACTTGTCATTAGAAAATGTTTTCAATATATAATTGAGATTTACTGTAAAAATTTTTGGGATACGCTCTATGGGGGCAAATTTGAACTTCAGATCAGCTCCCAACAGAAAGTGCCAATAAATACTCTAGAACTGTTGCCTATTAATCGTTCCCACATTCTTAGCCACAAAACACAATTGTGATGCCATGAATAAAAGAACATCTCATCACACGTAGTTGTAATGTTCCATTTGTTCCATTGGTAAGGATATGGGAACAGTTGTGGATAGCATATCCGAGCCCATCAGTGTCCCATTGGTTTTTTTGGTTCGATTTTTTTTTTTTTATTCATTCAGTTTTCATAATTAGACATTCAATTAACCAAATTTTGTTATTTGACATGTAATATATAATATATTAATATATTTATATATTAATATATTATATAATACTTTTAATATATTATAGTGAAATTCAATTTCATAATATTAATATATTATGTTATAATATATTAACATATATATCATCTTTTTATTTCAGTTTTTAAAATTTTGGTTTATATTGTTCGGTTTTTTACCAAATAAATCAAATGCTCACCCCTAGATACAGATTGATTGGTTCCAAGTTTTTTTTTGGTATCATGTCTTTTCGTTATCATAATCAAATCAGACTACCCAACTCCCAAGACCACCCAAATGAATAAGAATGAATGATGAAACGTGCTTTGTGATAATAATAATAATAATAATAATAACAATAATTTGGCAAAAAGATTGTTCTTTACTTTTATACATTCCTTGACCAAATTAAAATTTATCAACTTCAACAATTCAAAGGGGGAGAGCCTATCAAGGTGCACTTTTATACATTCCTTCAACAATTCATTGTTACATCCATTATCAAATCATAGGTACTTAAATCGTTTCTTAATACTTCAATGATTCAACCCATGCCCATTTTTTATCAGCCCCTAGCTTGTTTAGACCATAAACTTATAATAGACAAATTCTTCTTGCTAGTTAGTGCCATGGATGATATTTGATAAATATGATCAAACCATCTTAATCTATTTTTCCTCAATTTATCACAATTTATTATAATTAACCAACGTGGCCAATGCTATAGCACCAATAAGAGGCCAGCTCCTGTTGTCTACATTAGTGCTGGTCTCCTCTCATGTGATGACACACATGGACTCCTCCTCGTAGCCCTCTTCTCTAGTTGACTACAAAAAAAATCAGCATGATAGAGCTACTGCCTTTTGGTTTTGTATGGTCTCTTAAGATTTAGATATTGGAGTGTTTTTTCAGTTCTAGCAATTCAACGCTCTTGTTGCAACTCCTACTATGTAGTTAACGACATAGGACAACAGAATGATAGAATAAATCACCACGAAATTACCGATCCCTCTCCAACTCCTCATGGCCAGAGCTCTAAAGAAGTGGCCATATTTAGTAGTGAGTTTAGTAATAACTTAGCTAAAAGGCCTCATTCATTTTTTCAGAAGCTACTCATTAGGGTAAATGTGAGTAAGTGTATTTATCTATGTTCTTTTATTTAGGGTTGTACACAGGTCGTGTTGGGTCGGTTTACTGGGGTTTTCCCAACCGACCCGACTTGGTCGGGTTACCTAAGGTGGAAACCGAAACCGACCCACTGATAGGCAAAACCGACCTGGTCGGTTTGAGTCGGATTGGGTCGGTTTTGCTCCTATAGTCAAACCTTATTTCTGAAACTTGTCTCACCTTTGGTCCAGTGTCAACTTTACTAACCCCTATTCCTCTCAAAAAGCTTTTATATTCAATAAGACAAAAGTTAGAAGACAAAAGACAAAAATCAATATTCAATAAGACAATAAAATAGAAAGTCAAACTGTTTTATAGAAAGAAGGCTGAAACATTTATATTTAAAGAAACTTTCTAAATTCTAATCTAGGTAAAAGAGAACACCTAATTCTAATTGTAATTGCCTAATGAGTTGCCTATTTGGTGTAAAAGACTATATAAACTATGATAGATATAATTTAGTTAAGTAGGAACTAGAAGATAGGGTTGTTCTAGTTCTAGTAGAAGACTAGTTGAGTAGGAATCTAGGAACTACCGAACTAGTAGAAGACTAGTTAAGTAGGAAGACTAGTTCGGTTCGGTTTCGGTTTTTACACAAGAAAACCGAAACCAACCGGTGTTGATGAAAATCCGGTCGACTCGGGTTGGGTCAGTCCGGGTTGGTCGGGTTGGTCGGGTTGGGCCTTCTTATGAATAGCCCTACTTTTATTTCTCAAGTGAATAAGGTAATGAATATTTTAACCATAAAAGCCATTATTAAAAGGGGCAATTTTGTCCCATCCAAGTGTTGTCAAATTTTCCCTAGTGGGAAAGTATCTAGGGAAATAATTTTTTCATAGATCCTATATAAACCTAAAAAAAGAACATGGGCATCTTGGTCAATGGGAAACCAAATCCCATTGGCCAACTTTTCCTTTTCTCATAATCCAAAAAACGAATAGACACAAAATGATTACAGAGAAGTAAAACTAGGTTATTTAACCTCGTGCTTTTGGCTCATTTCCCAAAGAAGGAAAGAACATTGTTGCAACTCAATTTTTCAAACTCAAACTAGTCAAGAGCTTATGAAGAAAAAAAATTCCCAATCTTATGTGTACAATTACCCACCTTTCAGGTGAGCTTTTGTAGCTTAGTTTGCTTGTTAGCTGTTTCTACCATTACCATCTTAGCCTCCCTTATCTCATCTTGTCATTCTTGTGTCTAGGGATGTCAACATGTCAAGTTCGTCATGGGTTTGCCTCAACCCTAACCTGACCATCCAGTGCCCAAACCTGAACTAGCTTAAAATACATAATTTCCGAACTTGACCCAACCCTTTATGGTCTAACCCGATGCCAACCAGACCCACACCCATAGCATTTCAATTGTATCTTTTTAACACGTTTTGAAAACATAAAATCCATTAGTTTAAGTTTGGAAATTGTTTTATAGATTCTAAGGTGCTACTTTTTTTCATTTAAAAAAAGAAGAAAAAGAAAACCAAAATCAATATGTAAATAAATCTTAAACTTTAAAGCTATGGAGTTAGAAGTCAATAAGTTACAAGAATACCTTGTACATATGTAGGGCATCATGACTCGGTGGAGCGGGTTAGTCAAAACCCAAGCCGGCACAAGTCGAAGAACCCAAACCCTAACCCGACCCTAAAGCCAAATATGCCAGACCTTATAGGGTCGGGTCAAGCCGAGTTTACCATTTAACCCGACCCATTAACACCCCTATTCTTGTCTATGGAGCCTTTTAAAGTTGATTTTCACGTCCAAGGTATCGAGACGTATAATCTTCTTGACTTTATCAGATCCAATGGATTTCCATTTGAGTTCTCACGATCATTTAGTTTTGATATCTTTCTTTATAGTTTTTCCACTCATTCATCTCAACATTCATTATTCTTCAACTCTCATTAAATCAAACTAACCAACCAAAAAGCATTTAAAAGAGACCAAGACCAAAATGTACCTCTAATAAATGGAGTAGGAGTAATTGGGATGAATATAGGTCAAAGACGGTTGAAAGCTAAAAAATGTTAATGTAGAGATGAAAAAAAGAAAAAGAAACTCCTTACCAGTCATTTTGGTGTCGTAAGCTTTCTAGCTATCTATCCTAGATG